AGCCATGCAGGCACATTAATTAATTAACCACTAGACAAGCAGAATTATTAATGTAGGTAATGCCCAGTAGAGGGAAGAAAAAAAGGATTGGTTCTGACTTGTGGAACTGGGGCTGGGGAGAGATGGAAACTTCTGACAACTCTGGTTGTATTACAAGCCCATCTGCAATGTTGTTTGAGTTTTTGTAAGCATGTGCGTCCTTTATGTTTTTTTAAATTATTTTTAAATGAATAAAACTATACGTTCTCTATGTCCACAGTCTCTTTATTGAAACTACAAACCTAAATTTTTATTTTCTATTTCTCCTTCCTGTAATCTCAGTAAGCTTTTTCAGGTCAATATCATTGGTGCACATGTGTGCACCTCTGATCCTTACTATTGTATTCAAACGTCCAAACAAATATTTATTTTAAAAAGCAGAAGCATCCACTATATAATGGGCAGCTATAAAATTGCTCCTTCCATTTTGCTGGTGTCTACTAATTTTCTTCCTATCAGTCCTCCCACATCCATCAGTTCATAGAAATAACTTCTGAGGACTGAGGGATTTAAAAGCCTGCGAATCGCATTTCAGTATTACCTGGAACTACTGGAAGCCAGAATCTTTTCTTAATTTGCCGTTCTCCCCATTACACTCTGCTTATCCATCCTCAAGATTTCAGACCCTGTTCAGTTCTCAAAAAGTAAACACCATGGAAATACGATTCAGGACTTCAGAAGCCATACTGGTGGGAGGAGGGGCTAACAGAAAGATAAATGTTGGCAAGCTTGATACCACATTCACTATGTCCCAATTAACTGTCCCTTTTATAAAGATCTTAAGATTTTCATGCAAAATGGGAGTTCCTATGTATTAAGACATTCTATACAAAGTTCTCCAACTGACAATTATTTTTTTCTCATTTTATAATCAAAGAGACTAACCTGAGCTGTCCAAAGCACAAAGTAAAACACAGATGCTATGTCTCCAGCAAACACAGACAATCTTACAAGGCTGTAAAATTATCATTCCACTAAGGAAAGCACCCGGGGGAGGTGAGTTACTGTTGTTTTTTCTTTCCCAATGGAAGAATGGAATTACACTCCCGAAGTCAGCTGAGATAGAAAGAGATACATAAAATCAAAAGATAGGGAAGCCGGAGAGAGGGAAAGATCACTTTCTGTGGCACTGAGGCACTCCCTTCAGCGTCATCTCATCTAATCCCTACAACAATTCAGTGAAGCTTTCGTCATTATCCAGAGTCAACTTTGGCAAAATGTTTTACCATCACCCCTGCTTTTTACAGATGAGCTGGCTGGAGTGCAGAAATGGTCAGTGATGTCTCCAAACTCACAGAGCTAAGTTTCTGAGCCAGGTGAGCCTCTGATTCAAAGTGCAGAGATTTTTTCTTCTTCCAGAGGACAGACACAGCTGGCTTTATTCATAGAGCTGTTCTCTAGTCCTTGCTCCAGTAGTTTACAGTCTGAGGTTACAGTTTTGTGTTCAAACACATTGTTCGAGAGAAAGGAATAATAGCCACCAGGTGACTGCCTCTAATAGAAAAGAGGCGGCAAAGCAGGAACTCTTGAGTTTCCTTGGGGCTTCCCAAGAGAAAAATGAGGTACCAACTACCAAGCAAGTTATTCAGTCCGTTTTCTGAGCACTTACCCGTGACAAGTCCGGTAATAGTGAAAATGAGACAGTCCTTAACCAAGAGCAGAAAACTGCTGGCCTTCACTGCATACGCACCACGGTTCTTTTTCTTGCCTAACAAGTTATCAGGCTTATGGGAGGGCACTGACTCACAGAACTGGGATCCACAGCACAGCTACTGATGTTTATTTTTTTCCTTATCTGAACCTCCACACACACAGTGGCCTCACAAGATCATCTTTTGGAGCAACATCAATTTGGGGAATACTTGTTAGGAAGTCAACTTTGGCAAAATGTTTAAGACCTCAATTCAAGTGGAAATAAGATTGTCAAAGCTAAAATTTATTCAGCAAGAAGAGATTTTTAAAATATTTTATTTAGCCAAATGGTTTCTTGAATCTGAGCTACAGAGAAATTTTTACATTAAAGAACATCATTATTATCACAACTTATTTAGCACTTGCTCTGTACTAGGTGCTGCACTGAGACATTGGAGTTTCCAGTATCTTGAACCAACCTGGGAGAAATATCAGTGGTGAGGGTTCGGTGTTTGTATATGGAGGATGGTGCAAACTGAATTATTCCCATAAAGCTGCTACATAATTCCAGAGAAAGCACACAGCTACCTTCCCATTAGAAGGAGGGTAGGGATAGGTGTTATAGTGAGAAACTGAGATGCTGCTGGATCCCAGGCCAGAGGACCTAAAGAAATACTCTGTCCATTAGGAGCCCACCCTGTGGAGGAACTTGAGCCTACTCCAGATGGGGACTGGGTAGGAACATCAGTGCCATTTTTCTTCAGATGAATATTGTGGACCCAGAAGGAAGCACCTTGTAAGCAGGAAAAATAAATTTGTGCTGAAATAATGGATGTAAAATACTTCTCCCTGTCCACTATTGTCAAAACAAATCAGAGAGGAACAGGGGGAGGAAGGGAATGTTGAACATCTATTATGTGACAGGCACAGTATTAAAAACAAAATGAAATGGGACATTTTAAAATGTTAGGCTGACATGATGTCTTTTGGTTCATTGCACCCCTTTCCATTTTATCTGAACTCCTTTGGCTTGTACGTGTTTTTCCTAATATCAGTACAAATTCAAGCTGGTATCTTCTGCAGCGTGATTCAAACTAAAGATACAATAATCTACTGATAAGAATAATAAGTGAAATAAATTGTTTCATTGTAATATTATCTCTTAACTGCTTGTATAAGTAATTTACAAGTTTATCTGTCATTTATCAGACTCACCTGGTAGCTTTAATAGAGATATAGTCAGCATTCTCATAGGGGAAAAATACCCTCTTCCTTATTGCTCAGGATGTCTCAAAGGCAGGCACATTCTATACTGGCATCAAATCTGGCTATCTTAGCTCATAAAAGAGCTGGATTCTTACCTCCTAATGTAGTAAATGCTAAAGTACCAAAAGTAGATATGGGGAGAAAAGCAATGTATCCTTTATGTGTATTTGTCTCCAAACTAAAACAGTAAAAACTTGAGACAGATTTAATATTTTGTCTCAAAAAATCACTAGCTGGTACCTGTGGTCACTTCATCTGAATCTACTTGAGGAAACAGGGGTCAACGTACTTGGTGATGTCATGGGGGTATCCAGGCACTTGCTGATGTCACAGAGGGGATTTATGCATTTGGTGATGTCATAGCTTGGGGGGCGGGGGGCGGGGTGGTCTGTGCACTTGGTGATGACATAGAGTCTTTCAACCTAGGCAGAAGTTTTACATTCTGTCGTTCACTTTAAAACTATAATGGTCTGTAATGGACCCCAAAGCTCTACTTCTAATTCTGCCAGCAGGGCCCACATCCTGGTACTTTAAAATGAGAAAGGGTTTAAGGATACCAAATGTTTTGGTAATTTAAAACTACCGAAAAAAAAAAACATAGAAGGAATAAGACCTAGTATTTGATAGCACAGCAGAGTGACTATAGCCAATAATAATTTAATTGTACATTTTAAAATAAGTAAGAGTATAACTGGATTGTAACGCAAAGGATAAATGCTGGAGGGAATGAATATCCCATTCTACATAATGTGATTACTACGCATTGCGTATCTGTATCAAAACATCTCATGTACCCCATAAATATATACCCCTACTATGTACCCATAAAAATTAAAATTAGGAGTTAAAAAAAAATCACTAGCCGCTACCTGCAGTCACTTGATCTGCATGCTTGAGGAAAGAGAAGGAATGGACTTGATGCTTCTACCCAAAAAAATTTGTGAAGACAAAACCCTCCATCCATGTAAATGCATGGACAATATCTTAACAATTTTAGCTCTTACTGTTTTTCCACCCGCACCTAGGAGTTAAGGATGTAATTTACAGGACTTTAGATCTTTCCCCTAAGAACTCTTTTTCTTTCTCTTTTCTGTACTTGTCTTAATATTGTTAACAGATGGCAGCCAAGGGTACAGCTGAGTCTTCTTCGGCTGACTGAGTATGATGAAAATGCCAAGTGTAGTCTGAGCACCGCCCTGAACTTAGGCTGGTAGCCCTTCTGCCCACTTCATCTACTGGGAACTCTTGGGACACCCTGGAGAAGGAGCTCAGGCTGGAAGCAGAAACAACCCACCTCAGCTAAGGGTTAGAATTTAACCTTTTTAAAGGAAGCCTGTTATGCCTAACAAAATAAACTTATCTTTCCTCACTGACACTGTCTATCCTTCACATTCCAGGAATCCCTTCTGAAAAACATATGCCATGCCTTTTTTCAAGAGAATGCAGTCAATCATTTCAGCTCAGACATCTCTCCCACATAAATGCTGTAAGCTATCCTCCAAGCCTTTCCTTTTTCTGTAGCACTTGCTGCTAAGGATAATTGTATGGTTTGCCACCAACAAAATGTAAATTCTCCCAGTGCCCATGAATACACCCTGGTCCAGAGGAAAACAGGTGAGAAATATGTCAAAAGAACTTGTAATACAAGCCTTCATATACGTGGCAGGGGAAGGCCTGGTGACTCCTTTCCTCACTTACAAAATGGGAAAAATAGCACCTAAACCTGCAGGCTTATTGAGGCTCAAGCTGTTTAGAACGGCATTGAACAAACATCTGGCACAGGAAATGCCCATTATAAGTCACCTGTTTCCATTTATGCCTCAATCTGTAAAATGTGGTGAGACGTGCCGCAGCAATTAGCATGGCTGATTACAGGAGCTGATCCCCATCTTTTACTCACAACCCTGTAACTCAGTTTCTTCTTGATAAGGTAATGATGGTGATAGATAGGGACACTACAAACCATTCATGGATTCTCCCCTAAGTTTGTGCCATCGTCCATGTATGTATTAAATCTAAAAGCAAAAAAAAAAAATTCTTCAAATAAAATGCTAAAGTGTATTAAAAGTTGTCATAATGCACATTTTATTTTGATTAGTTTCTGTGACTCCTTTATTTTAAACCCAGCAACGCCACTTCCCAAGGTGTAAAAATGTGAAGATTTAGGTAAACTGAATGTCGGAGGAGTGTAGTGTAAAGAGATGGCAGAACACAGATAAAAACATCCGAAAAGCCTCTGTGGGCCGGTCAAGCTTATGATTCAACAGTTAGAAAACCAAAATTACTTGGACATCCCCTTCTACTTAAAGTGATATACTGGAATTGAAAATATTAATTAACCGTTCGTTTTAAAAACTAAGATTACTTGAAATGAAGTAGGCTCATTCCAGAATGCTTTTCTTTCTTCCTTCCCGAAACAATTACATCAAACTTAGATATCCTAATGTTTATTTTTAGATATAGTCCTTAAATTATGTTCACCCTTTTCAAGAGGATGAGAAATTTACATTCACTAATAGACTTAACATTGATCTTAAAAATTGGGTTTTGATAAAACTAGTGTGACAGAGGTACTAGTAGAACGAAAAAACAGGATTCCAGATTTTATTTTTTAGAAGATAGAAAAAACACACCCGGGACAACATTTCTTTGATCAATAAACTTTCAGGAAATGGAGGAAGCTGTTTTGGGACACATTCAAAGCTAGTTAACTTGAACTTGGAAATAGGGTTTTTGACAATGCAACTACGGGAAACAAATCTCTGAACAAATTTTAAATGAAACCTCACCCCTCCCCAAACTGTTCAAGTGGCAGACAAAATAAATTACCATAAATTATATGCCAAGACACCTTTTAAAAAACAACAACAACAGCAACAACAATAACCCAGGAGTCTGAGGATTTCCTTCGCTCCTCCAGGAAGTGTGTAACACTGCTTCTGGCCTGCAGGCTGGGGCGGATCGGGGACCTGTCACACGTCAGGATAGTTGCAGTAATATACCGCGGAGCTGGCGTCGGACACCACGGAGGAAATGGCCCCGTGGCTGTCGGGGAGATTCACACTGGAGTCATGCCCCTGGTAGGGGAGGCCCATCTCAGGCTTGCACACGAAGTGCAGATACTGTTCAAATTCCGTGCGGTCCACCTCTCCGAGAAGCTCGGCGGGCTGGTTGGGGTCCGTGCCGTCCCGGCAGGGCAGTGCCTCCGGAGGGGGCGACGGCTGTCCGGGACCCGGGGGCTGGTGCTGGTGCTGGTGCTGGTGTTGGTGTTGCGGCTGCATTTGGAAGCCGCGCCCGCCGCCCGCCCCGTGCGAGCCCATCGCGCCGTAGTACATGTGCAGGGCGCTGGGTGGCGCCAGGAGGCCCGGCATCGATGGACCCGCGGGCTCTGGGCCGAGTCTGGGGTGTATGGGGCCGGCGGGAGGCTCCGGGGGGCCAGCGTAGTCCGAGACCTGCGAGTAGCTGTAGGTGCCGGCCGCCGGGCAGTCCCCGGGCATCGGGGCGGCGAAGAAAGCCGAGTCGGGGTCCACGCCGTCCAGCGGGGACGTGTCGGGCGTGGGCAACTGATAGCCGTCGAGCGGAGGCGCGCCCAGACTCTGGCAGTCGCGGTAGTGGCCGCCCATGTGCGGAGGCAGCAGCGGCGGACCGGCAGGGAAGCCCTGCTCGGGGAACGGGAGGCCCAGGCCGTCCATGGCCACTCGGCCGCCCTCGGGGCCCAGCGCCGCCGCCTGCGGCTCGGCCAGGCCGTGTAGGAAGCCGCCCTCCACCCGCTTCAGCCGCTTCACCTGCTTGCGCCGCCGCGGCCGGTACTTGTAGTTGGGGTGGTCCTGCATGTGCTGCACGCGCAGCCGCTCGGCCTCCTCCACGAAAGGCCGCTTCTCCGCCAGCGTCAGCGCCTTCCACGACTTGCCTGCACAGTGGAAGGAAGGGGGAGAGGGGCGCAGGGTTTATCGGCTGCGCTCCCGCCCCAGGCCCCTCCCCCACCCGGACGCATCTCTCCCCTCAGACCTTGAATTGAGCAACTGGGGTGAAGTTAAAAAGGGAAGTCTGGGACTCCTGAGTCCGAGCCCTTGGGGAACACCCGTCCTCTAAAGGCACCCCTTTCTTTTGGTCTCCTGGAAGCGGCTTTCCGCTCACCCATCACCCGGTCGTTCGAAAAACAGAAAAGGACACCTAGCTAGGGAAGGGGTCGAGGGATGGACACAACCGGCCCAGTTCAGGGCCAAGGGTGCTCTCGCGCCGCTCAGATGTGCCGGGAAGTCGCCTTCCCAGAGCCTTTGGACCCACGTCCCCGGCCACCTGGGGAATCCGGGAGCCGGAGAGCACGGCGGAAAGTTACTTTGGAGGCTCGGAGAACGGGAAGCTGGAAGGGAACCGAGAGCCTTAAGAAAGGACGTGGAGTCTCGGGCGTCAGGCTCGCAAAGAACACCGTTTGGGGCTTAAGAAAGCGGCCTAGAGATTCGCGCCAGCGCGCCCGGCCGCCTGCGTCCCTGACTCGGACTCACCCAGCATCTTGCTCAGCTCCGCGTTGTGCAGGTCTGGATTCTGCTGCGCCAGCCGCTTGCGCTCGTCCTTAGCCCACACCATGAAGGCGTTCATCGGCCGCCGGATACGGGACTCGCCCTTGGCTCTGCCCGCGGTCCCGGCCGGCGCTCCGCTGCTCGCCGGCGCCTCGCCCTTCACCTTCATGTCCCCGATGGGGCTCAGCGACTCGGCCCAGGGGCAGGGGCCCAGCCCGGCCATCACCGCGGGCAGCGCGCTCCGGGTCTGGCTCTGGTCGTCACTGGCGTATCCCGCATCCGGGCTGCTCATGGCGCTCCAGGCCGGCCCCGCTCCCCTCAACTCTCCGCCGGACGCGCCGCCTCCCCCGACCCGGGGGAGGGGGTGGGGAGCGAGGCACTGAGATGCCCCGAGGGCTGCGCGGGTCTCCCGGCCCGAAGCCGCCGCCCGTGTTCTGGCCTGTCGCGGTCTACGGTCTACAGCGTACCCAGGGCCCCCAACCGACCTAGTGACACTGCGGGCGCCCCTGGGCCGCAGGGCCTTTTCTGCACAGATGTGGCCAATGGAGCGGCGAGGGCGGGCCGGTCCCGCGTAGTTAGGCCCACGCCCAGGCCGTGGTGCGAGTCCCAAGTCCCAGTCCAACCCCACGCCCGCCCCTTGCCCCTCCCCTGGCCCCGCGCCCAGGGCTACCCCTGCCCCCGGGAAAACTAGCGGGAGCCGGGCTCTGGCGCCGCGTCCTCTCCCACCCGGGTTAGGGAGACTCGAAAAGCCATCTGGGAGGGCTGATTGTACCTTGGAATCGACGTACTTGCCCAAGGTCGTTCAGATGAACATACTGAGCGTCCATTCTATTCTCTTTAAAGCACATCTTTTTGTAGAAGCCGAGGGTGTTTCAGTGGTGGGTGACCTAGTTTACTTCCTGCACGGGCATCTTCTTCAAATGTATTTTCTCGAATGCGAAAGACACCGTTGATAATAAATTTAAAAATACAATTTTTCCCCCAGGACTTAACTTGCCTGTGTTATGTTCAAAATGCTGTGTCCAAGATAAATCCTAATTTTCTAAAGCAAGATTAAATACGGAACGACGTTCTGGATCCAATATTCCATCACTCTGAAGAATAAAGCATTTACTCATGACAAACCAACCAGTTTTTAATGTGTATCTTATTATACACATCATGTGAAGTATGAAAATGTGTACAAGATGTATATAAGATACGCATAACAAAACTTTCTCGCATGTGTTCAGTAACAGGTGAGCCTTAATACTGATTTCTAAAATGTAAAGACAGCAGCAATATTTGGCTAAATGTCCGAGTTTGTTAGGGGGAAGAGAACAATCTGTTTTAGCTGCAAAGTAACTGTGGTTCTTAAGAGTCAGTTTAAGATGGTTATTCTGGCAGACAATTAGATTTCTATACGTTTGTTTAGACTGGAATGAAATCTGAATGACTATTAAACTTGTGTTTCGATCTGGAAAAAAAAAGTTTTCAGTGAGACTTTTAAAACAAGCCCTTATACAGCGCTAAGAAATGACACAGCCTGCCACTGCTATTCGTAGCGCGCTCCGGCATTAGCAAAGGAGTGTATCCTCATAGTAACCCTGAGGTAGACTCTATCTTACAGGAGAGGAAACTGAGGCAGAGAAGTTAAGGAACTTGCTGGAGACTACAGTATTGAGAAGGTGGAATTCACACCCAGCAGTCTGCCTTCAGACTTGCAGCTCTTAATCACTAAGAGAGGCTGGTGTGTTTGTGTATTTGTGTTGGTTTTTGAGGGCAAACAACAGCCATTCCTGCATAATTAGAGATGACTTTGCAAAGAAATCAATATACCAATCTCCAGAACAGACTTTCTTTATTATGAAGGCGTGATAAAAAAGTAGAGCTTACACCTGGGATCCGAGAAGTAAAATGCTGCTGCTTTGAGTGTGATACTACAACAACAAGACTGTCTGTCCAGTCTTGCTTTTAGTGGCATCCACAAAAATACAAAACTTTTGCAAACTCCTGGCCTTCAGTTTCTCTGGCATTGCTTTTTCTCAAAAGAACTCTTACACAATTGTTTTAAGCCAACTTATATTTAATTCTGCAAGTATCTGTGAAGTCTTGACTAGAGGACAAGTTAAGAAAGTGTTTCTAGTTCCTGGGTCTCTAAGATTCAAACAAGAAAAAAAAATCTGCATAAAGAAATCATAGAGGGATGTTACTTTTACTTGGTAGTTTTGAAAGCAGTTGATTTTAGACAAATTTAAATGATGGTGTACTTTTCTTTTAAAGCTTTTTTCTGGAAAAAAAAATGGGCTTCAGAATAAAGCAAAAGCACATTGAAAATTATTAAGCAACAAAACTACAGGAGGAGAGAGAGCAATCTACAAATTAAGCCCGTGGTACCTTGTTTTTTGGTAGGGTTTTTTTTTTTTTTTTTTTTTTTTTTTTTTTTTTTTGTTAGATCTTTGCTAACTTTTCTGGATAATAATACATATTTTTCAAAGATCTCAAAGCAGAATTTTCTCTTAACACAAAATCTTTTATGAACTAAGGAGTTTTCCTAGAACATTGAAAATTAAAAACAATGTCTGATCCAGAATTCATTTTTATCTGTCTAATCTGTTTGACTAATTCCTTAAAAAACACTACAGGAAATACAATCCAGGTGTGAGTCCAAAAAAGTACATGCACAGATTTAGCCCTGTACACTTTCTTCATCCTCATGCTCTTCCTCACCCAGCTCATTGTCTGGAGAGGTGCGCTTGGGAGCCAAGAAGATGGAGAAAATGATGGGGAAGAAAACGTGGGATTTCCATATTTTATTGATTTATTTACTTATTTATTTATTGAGACGGAATTTCCCTCTTGTTGTCCAGGCTGGAGTGCAATGGCACGATCTCGACTGGCAACCTCCACCTCGCCGATTCAAGCGATTCTCCTGCCTCAGCCTCCCGAGTAGCTGGGATTACAGACGCATGCCACCACGCCCGGCTAATTTTTGTATTTTTAGTAGAGATGGAGTTTCATCATATTGGTCAGGCTGGTCTCAAACTCCTGACCTCAGGTGATCCGCCCGCCTTGGCCTCCCAAAGTGCTGGGATTACAGGCATGAGCCACCAAGCCCGGCCGAGTTTCCCTGTTTTTATTCGCCCTTGTTCCTGGGGACGGATCTTGGTCGGGTAAGAGAAATCAGGTGAAAGTACACATCATAGGTTGGAGTAGATTTTGGCGCCCCTCCCCCTACTTCTTATAACACCCTCCCTGGGATCATAAATTCACAGTTTACAAATTTACAGGGGAGAATTGTGGTGGTCTTCCAACTCTAGTCCCTTTTACATACTGTGACCCAGTTAGATCTCATTTCTTCTGATCATTCGCTTGTCATTTATTTTCGGGGGGCAGTGTGGAGGGCGGCGACGTCGCTGACCCGCGCGCGGTGTGTGGAGCCTTCTATTTCAGTCTCTTCACTTTAATACATGGTGCCCCGGGACGTTATCAGAGCCAGCCACAAATGCCACATGTAAAGCAGCAAACATCCGGAGTGGCTTCCTGCAAGCCTTGCTTTTCTCAACACGAGAGATTTACGCAGGGGGTTGGGGAAAACAAGTTTCACAAGTAAGAGCCGAGTACACCGCTCGCATAGCCGGCCGGGTGCCTTAGCACTGCGCGGTCTAGGGTCGCAGGACTCCCGGCTACTAATTGCGCTCACGTCCCCGGGTCCCTGGGCCGGACCTGAGGCTTGAAAGACTGGGCAAGGAAGCGACTAGCGCACCAAGAAGCTGTGCCCGTTGCCAGTTGGGGCCTTTGGTCAGCGGGCGCAGAAATTAACTCGGGTAGGTGGCGAACCGTGGGGCTGACCTGGAGGAATCAGAGCCACGCTTATCCGTGGGCCCCTGAGTGACCAGGCAAAGGCTGGGTGATTTCCGGCAGGCTTTTGTGTTTTCGATGCTGGGAAAGCAAGAGCTGGAGGAAGGACACTCAAGTCGATCGGGAAGGACCCGTGGGCACCTAGGCAGATCCGGGTTGGCGCTGGAGAGCAAGTCTGTGTGGGCGGGGGAGGGGAGTGCGCGCCGCAAATCCTGGGAAAACTCCAGGCGGCCCGTGGATGACTACACAATGGTATCCCTGAACGAAGAACAACAATAAGGCCTTTGCATTTATAAATCGTGCGCGGGCTGCTGCCTCCCGGAGGTGGCGCGCGGCGGTGGAGCGCGGCCGAGGGTTCCGCACCTCCCAGGTAGGGCCGCGCAGCCGGACGCAGCTTATTCGCACCTTGCGCCCCGGCGCCGTCTAGGCGGCGGTGCCGCGCCCCTTGATACCTTTAACGTCTCTTCCTTGTCCCCGGGCCAGTTCCCCGTGGGTCCGGGATGGAGGTCGAAGGTCGCGGGCGGGAGGGGAGGGGTAGGGGGGAGGGAATGGCCCGGAAGATCGCCGCCACCCGCTCTGCTGCCGCTCGCCCCGGGCCTTGGAGGTCCGTCCCAGGTCGGAGCCCCGCAGATGCTGCAGTGCGGGTCCGACCCAGCCTATGCCGTTCTCCTCTGCTGCGCCGGCCTCTCCCCGTGGGGACTGAAAAAAAAGGGCTACAGCGAGAGGGAATTTGGAGATGCGCGTTCCCCTCGCCCCAGGACGGGAATATACATTTTACTTGGACGCCCTCTCCCACTCCCTCCACGCGCATCCCTCCCTGGTCCGGCGGTGTCCCCTCGAGGCTGCCCCCCAACTCCGCCCTGGCAGCGGGCGACTCCTCGACCGTGTCCCCGTTCCCGCTTGGCCCCGCCTGGGATTTGCACAGGCGAAGCAGGAAATGCGCTGTTCCCGGTCCACTTCCCTACTCAGAAACTCATCCGTGGAGTTTTCCTTAGATCCCCCCACCTCCAACTGTGGCCCCGGGTTGAGGTGTGTGGGCTACTTCCCTTTATGGCCTGGCCTGTGGAACCTCAGCCTCCAGGGGGAGGTGGTGTTGGGAATGACGGAGAGGGTCCCGCTCCTCACCCAGGACTCGTCCCACACACAGCACTGTCTTGCTCACCCCTTTCAGATCTGCCCCTCAGCCTTAAAAGGGATTTCAATAGCGGCAGAGCTTCCATGCACCCGGTGCTGCAGCTGAACTCCTACTCCCACTTTCCCCATCCACACCCTAGGACAGGCCAGGGCTTTCCTTGGAGACCTGTGTCCTCACCTGACCAGACAGCCTTATCAGCAGCGCGCCCACCGTGCGCAGAGCGCTTCCACTCCCACCCGAAGGAGAATGGACGCGGTCCCTGCTTCGGAGGAATGTACCACTCAGTGTCATTAGTCTTCCTCCCTGATTCATTAACTTCCAGCTGGGTGTTCTAGGTATGGTCTTCTGTAATAATTTGTTCCTGGCATGTAAAGGTGATGCTGACATCAGTAGGTCAAGCGCTTTGAGATTTTTTTTTTTCTAGTAGGGATAATAGGTTTCCTTTCCACCCTGAAAACTCTGGCTTGCCAAGTTTCCCTAGTAAGCAGGGCTGGATTGTGCCAGATGGTTAGGGCAAGGTGTGCATTCTGTTATCATGGAAGTGATCAAAGTTAAATAGGTCAT